ATGATGAAAGTTCCCCTGATTATGTCTAATGTCTTTCACTGATGTGCTCACGTCTGTAAAAAGGCCTGATTAGAGAGACGGTCTGCGATCGCCCCACTCTGATAGTGTCTCAAGAGAAACCAGCATCAATTTCTTCGATTTACCCGAGTGTTTAAAAGCTTTATGGACTGATCACTGCAGAGTATGTTCAAATGCTACAACGACTCTTGTTTGAAATCATATACACCCTGCACGTCACCTACGCGCTTTAGAATCACGATCCTATTTTTTTCAATTTAATCATCCTCTGTCATTACATAAATATTAAAAGTACAGTCAAAATAGACAGTGTTAATATGCATCAAATGTTCTCTCATTATTTCGCGTCTCATTGCGAACCTTTTAAGACTCCTAACAGCACAAAATCACATAGTGTGTATGTTCGCTATACAAAGATGTCTAAAATAAGACTTAATCAGTCTGATCAATTTGCGTTTTGATAACTCTGTAATAATTCTACTAATCGCTACAGGAAACAACTGATCTGATTCCTGGACATGTCGTTTAAAGACAGTCCACAAGCATTGTTTGCATCATGTGATATTTGCAAACAAGAGATTTAATGTTGACATCTATTCTCCAGATCAGTTCCTGTGTTGTAACTTTGTGTCGTAGTGACTCTTGTCCAGGCCTGATTTTTCTAATGTATAATCGTATCTAATACCTTTCATTTTCACTATCAAGTTAAATATTATATCTGAGTGTCCTCCAGACGATGCGTGAGCGACACGTCCTCTGAACACCGAAAGAGTAGGACAAGAATAAAGACACAGTTACATTGTGACGACACGGAGAACTGCGTTGTTCAACAAGGCAGAAAACAGGACAGGCTTCGTGTCTTTGGTCATTACACAATGTTCATTGTCACATTCTCCAACGTTCATCCACAGGACCCAAACGCGAGAAGAGACATTTCAAATTACATCACAGTAATTCTTACAACAACCAACCTCCTACAAACAAGTTTGAAGTGTACGGTGCTGAGTTTTGGGATTGAACGTACCTGGGTGAGAGGCGCAACGCAGGCCCACTCTGTCGCGGAATCATTGCAGCATGTTTCTTGCTTTGGGCACGAACTCCCCCGTTGCTGTCGATCTATGGTACGTCCGTTCTCCTCCGTAGTCTCTCGGCTCGGACCTGTTACCACTTTGCTCTGAGGAGAGGCGTGTTGACGACCAGCGCGTCCTTCTTCTTTCTCCATGTTCCCGTTTTTGCATGTTTTGGCAGGGTTGTTTAGGGGCCTTGATGGAACCAAAGCATTGTTCTCGTGGTCCGCCACAGCAAAACGCCGAAGAGGAGAGGAAAAAGAATCCGTTTCATTAATTGATTATAATAACAATCAATAATTATAATAATTAAACAAAGTGACAGATGGTGTGACTCAAGTATTTTGATCCTATCCTGCATTTCAAGACCTACCAAATGAGGTTTTTTTTGATGGAAACAAAACTTATTGCTCATTAAAAATTTTTTTACACAAAGCAAAAGTCAACACAAAGATGCTTGTGTGTCCACATCTACCTTCAGCTACATCAATTATCATTAGCTGTAAAAACAGACGATTTAATGCTTGCCCTGGAAGAGGAATGGCTTTGGTTTCTTTTGGATGATGAGATTCAATTCTTAATATTTTATTGCTCGTTATATATGATTTTATTCAGGACTACTAAACTATGCTTCTCCTCTGGTTTGTTGACTAAGAAAGAACTTGCAATTTGTTTTAGAAAACAATCTTTTTGATTGATTTGATTCTATGAGATCTGGGGAAACCGAAAGTTTTTGTTATACATAAATACTAATTCATAGTAATATAATTCTCTTTATTTCCTGACCAACAGTATTATTTGTGTCATGTGATCCATTGTGACTGAGCACTGTTTATGTGTATGACACCGACTAAAACTCGCATTGATAAGTATTAAGTTGATAATTATAAAAGTTAGGATACGATCACGTTTGTCAGTTTAATTATAGATTATATATAAACAATTGGGATGTTAATTTCTCAATGGATTTTCAACAAAAAAACAATTTGTTTTGTGTGTTTTTAGTTATTGCAAAAGTAAACTTTATTAATATCTATGATAAATAATATCTAACTTTCATTTCCCTGAAAAATCTTGAATCTTATCTTGAATCTTAATTTTTAAAGGCCCAACAGTTTCATCACTGAGGCTCAAATTGACCATCTTTCCTCAAACTAACATAAATGTGAATCAGTGATGTACAGACCTTGACCAGGGGGCAGCAGCCCCACTCTCCCGTCGGCAGTTTACAGCAGGTCGTTCCTGAGGCGCAGCTGCTTTTGTCGTCACATTTAACGTCCGACACAGACCCTGGCTCAGTCAGAGCGCTCACTTTGGTGAACCAGGGAATGACATGGGGGCCCTTTGAGCAGGAGGACCGGTGAGGCTCACAGGTGTGGCCGCTGGGGCAGCAGTGGTTTCCATCTTTACAACAGACGGCCTGGAGAACGGCAACGATAACTCTGTGGTTATTTCACAACCTCACACTGGTGGAAAACTAATAGAGATCACCTCACTTACCTTTGGCAGAGGGCAGCAGCCCCATTTGTGGGTCCTGTCCATGAAGCAGCAGGTTGTGTCCTTGGGGCAGCTGGTCTTGGCGTCACACATGTTCCTGGCCGGCGGAGCTGAGCTGGAAACGGGCTGCTTCTGCAGGGCCGGGATCTTCAGCAACCAGGGCACGCTCAGGTGTCCGGGCTTGTCGCAGGTCTGCTCAGCAACGTTACACTTGTAGCCTTTGGGGCAGCAGTGCTCTTGATCGTTGCAGCACACAGCCTGGAGAGAACAAGATTGAATGGCTCTTTAACACAGACTGTAAATGCCAGATCTCTGTCCCACACATGTTATATATTTTACGCAACACGACTTCCAACAGATGACATACAAGTCGAAGAATGCCATGCAGCACTGAAATCCTCCTGCTCTCCTTTTATCCAAAAAACACAGCTGTTCTCATCATTAAGATGTGCACTGTGTTAATCTTTGATTTAATTCATGATCATATTGTAACGTTTTTTCATTATCAATTAATCTACAAATTATTTTCTTGATTATTTGGTCAAACATCAGAAACCTGTGAGAAATGTCTCTCCCAGTGTTTCCGAATTCAAAGTGACATCTTCAAATGTCTTGTTTTGTCCGACCAACAGTCAAGAACCAAAAGATAATCTGTTCAGTATTTGACAAAGAAAGAGGAATTAAAGAGTATTTTTGTTTAAAAAAAAAAAAAAAATCTGTATCTGTAATTCATCTAACATCGTCTTTTTTCCATGGATGTCTGAAATAACTGCTCCCTCTTCATGACTGGACCAAACACACACCGAACAAACAAATCCTCTGCAATCTGTGATTCAAAATACACCAGTCATCTGACCAACACTCACTCACACACACTGAACAAGCCCTTTGACTGTGAAGAAGAAGAAACTGACCTTAGGTAAGGGGCAGCAGGCCCACTGTCCAGAGTTCTTCTTACAGCAGGTGGTGCCCCCCGGACACATGGTCTCCTTGTCGCATTTCTCATCCAGAACCTCAGCGGTCAGAGCGGAGACTTTCTCCACCCAGGGGAGGGAAGGTGAAAAACCTGACGGGTCGTCACAAGTTTCAGCCTCCAGGTTGCAGATTGTGCCATGAGGGCAGCAGTGTTCGTGATCGTCACAGCACACGGCCTGGCGGTGACACAGAGGACACACACATCATGAAGCTGAGCAGCTGAAAAACCAGGCCCTGTTAAATGCCTGAATACTGTCATGTGGCTCAGGAAGTAGAGCAGGTCGTCCACTAATCAGAAGGTTGGTGGTTTGATCCATATTCATACACCAATCGCTGTTCCATCAGTGTATCAATGTGAGTGAAAGGGTGATTGTTGCAAGTACTGTAAAGCACTTTGAGTGGTCTCTAAGACTAGAAAAAGCTCTATATAAGTGCAGGTCATTGACCATTTACAATCTCCTTTTGTTTTCATGCTCTTTTTAAAATGTGACTAATATTTTATTTCATATATAGTATTGGAATGAAAAACTGAAGAGTGTAAGAAAATGATTGTTTTATATGCAAGATGACGCACTAAAAGCTTGGAAAGTATTGGTTTAAAATGGGACCTTATTTTAAGAATGGTTAAAAGAGCTATAAAATAAAATAAAATAAAATAAAAATGTATGTAGAAAAATAAGTTCACAAACTGCTTTACAGACATGAGAGGACAAAAAAATCAGAAAATGAACAAATGTGAGAGCACATAGAATACAAATACATAAAAAGAGCAACGTAAATAAAAACAAATAAATAGAACAACAAAATTAAAAAAACAAAGTAAAACTAAACTATAAAAATAAGTTTAACTTACTTTATTACTTTTAAAAAGAGGAAAATTAGTTTTTTTTCCTAATTTCCATTTATTATAATATTGTAGCATGTATGTGCATTTCTTTTGTTTAGGCTTAAACTTTAGTTTTATTACTGTAGCAGTTGTATGATGGTTTAAGTTGCACATTTATCATCATGTTATGATTTGTTCGATGAAAATGTTAACTACAAGAATCTATTCACAATTACAAAATCTATACACTGTAAATGAGTGGCCATTTCCAAACAATTGACAAATCATGCATTTTTAAGTTCTTCCATATTTGTCAGTTACTGGGACTAATTTCAGAAATATACTGGACTTACCGGAAACTGAACTGTTCACTGATTCATTTATTTCTTTCCCCCCGCTCACTGTTGCTCTATATGATTATAGTGAAACCAGAGAGCTCATAGTGAAACTGGAGCCAAAATGATCATACAGATGAATCAACATCTCTCTGAACATTATAAATGTCATGACGGAGGATTTATTGCAGGAATGCTTTAGTTTTAGCCATGTGTTCCTAATAAACTGCCAAAAGTTATGTTAAAGTGCATATTTTCAGTATAGGAAAGATTTTAAATGCCTATGTTTCTGTGTGGTTTGACCTCAACACTGTCCTCACTCTGTCCTTATATATCACCTGAGGCAGAGGACAGCAGGCCCAGTCTCCACTTGCCGTCTTGCAGCAGGTGGATTTTCCAGGGCACGACGTGGATCTGTTGCACTTGCTGTTGTCGGTCAGTAAGGGGAAGATGGGCACTTTGCCGAGCCAGGGCGTCACAGCGCTGCCCGTGGGATCGTCACACGTGGAGGCTGCCAGGTTACAAACGGTGCCATGGGGACAGCAGTGCAGGTGGTCCTCACAGCACACAGCCTTCAGGGAAGGTGAAGCAAACAGGCTGGAGTAAGGATCTACAATCATCAGCATTGCATTCTGTGAAATACAACTCCTGCAGCAAACAGACATTAAAATGAGCCTTTCCTTGATGCACTGTTACTGTTAATTTGACTGTGCACAGGATTAGCCTCCCCACTAAATCAGTAGTCAGATATCACTGCTTGCAAACACTCTAGAGACTTTTTGAATTTTCAGCCTCTTCCTGCAGATCTTTTCAGGTTCTGAGATATTTTAGTTTGTCCTGCTCGCATAGCAGGTTTCAGATCTACCCAGAGATTTTCAAATGTTCAGGTCAGGAGAGGGCGGGGTGTTCAAAAAGCTTCAGCCTGTGTTTCTTGAAGTGGTTCACAGGGGATTTTGAGGTCTGCTTTGGATCATCGTTCTTCTTGTAGATGTCAGCCAACCAACCAGGAAATCTGCATCCAGAATTTGCTGATATTTAGTGGAAACCATTTTTCCTGTATTTGTGCAGCATTTCCTGTGTCACTGGCTGCCACATAAGCCCAAGGCAGGATATTTACACAACCATGTTTAACAGTTGGCAAAGTGTTATTTTCATCAATTGCTGCTTCTTTTTCTCTCTCGTGATTTTTCAGCATCACTGACAGCTAAAGGACAAAGCTCTGCAGACAACAGATGAATTATAGTCTAAAGAGTCAGGACATGTGTTGAGCACCTCTGTGCAGCTCTGCAGAGTCAAACACTGTCAGCCTTGATACCTTCGGTAAAGGACAACAGACCCATTCTCCCTCTAGCGATTTACAGCAGGTGCTTCCGTCAGCGCAGGCCACAGAGTCATTACACGGAACAGCACCGACTGAAAGATAAACAGAAACTTTCATCAGTGTCAACATAACCAAACGTCACTCATTTAAATACAATTTCATTAGAGATTTAGTGCTGAAACTGAACTAACAGAGACAAATCTTTGATAATATACCTAAATCATTATAAAACAAAAATGTCAAACATTCAACTGTTCCAGCTTCTATGATGTGAGGATTTGCTTCTTTTCTCTGATTCATATCATTGTAAACTGAATATCTTTGGGTCGATTGATGATCGCCACGATGCTAAGCTCACAGTGAACGTAAACATGGAATCATCAGTTGGTTTTGTTAATGAACAATTCCAAATAAAGTTAACAAAAGATGTCTGTGTACCTAACAACACTCACACAAAAAAAAAAAAAAAAAAGTGTTTCTTTGTGCAATTCTGAACAGAAAGTAAAGTTCAGTTTTGAATCACAGAACAGTCTCAGTGTTTGTGGTACTGATTGGACTCAGCTGTGAGCCCACACAGCTACAGTAAACCCAGAGGAGNAGACGACAGTGGTGCTAGTGTGTTCAGGTGTTTTTATTCGCCTGTATATATATATATATATATATATATATATATATATATCCATCCTTCTATGCCCAACAACAGTAAGCCGCTCACATCCATCTTTTTCTCCACAGTTATACGCAGACTATACTGCACTAATAACGAATGAATATGTTTCTTTATGTATATACTGTATATATATATACACACACACACACACACACACACACACACACACACACACACACACATGTATATATCAGGCCCTGACCTCTAAACGTTCTGAGTATTTAAATGAGACTGAGATCACACAAACATGTTGGCAGTAGAAATAAGAAATGACCTGGAGATGATTGAAGTATTTAAATCAACATGAAAAATAGTTATTGACACAAAGTTTTGTAAATTAACTGCAAATTGCAGCAGCAAGACTCTTGAAAGTCACAAGCAGCAGGAACCTGGAGTAATATCCACTAACAAGCTTCAAGTCTGCTGTCCAATAGTGGTAGGTGGTGGCAGCGAACAGCCGAGTCAAGTTGAGTCTGTATGTTTGTGGTACTGATTGGACTCAGCTGTGAGCCCACACAGCTACAGTAAACCCAGAGGAGAAAACATGTCAGTCAGGAAGCTGAACTTTGTCATACAGTACTCGGGAGAGTTTGTAACACCATTTAAGAAAGTATGCCTCCATATATATGGCTGACTGATTGTCCGTGAGCCAGATCGTTCATCATTCAGGCATTTAACCAGGTGTCGTGACCCCCCTCAAACTGCTGATTCTGAAATCAGTCAGGGGGAGACCAATTCAGTGTCTTCCTGGTTTTAACTGCTCCACTCTCACCTTTGCTCTGTGCTGCCACCACCTCTGTCACAGCAGCGGGGATCTTGGAGGCCATGGTGACGTCTCCCCGGGTTGACACACAGGTGCTGTGGATTAGGTCACACTCTGTGCCCTCAGGGCAGCAGTGGATGTGATCTGAGCAACAGACAGCCTGGACGAAGAGAGGAAAGTAACTCATTCAGGGTCAGTATATTCTGTATTGAGGCTAATTCCTCTGAACTATCACTTCAGCAATCTATTCATGTGCAGAGCCAACAGGTAAACTCAGAATCTGACACTAATGACCGGTAAGTAAATGGAAATGTTCCCTCTAATGTTCACCTTTCATATTAATGCAATGTGTATTTGCTTAAATTATTTAATGCTTGAGTTTGATCATTTTCAGGTACAGAACTGAGTGAACTGTGGAGACAGCGTTGTCATAGAAATATCTTAAACATGACATAGTTCAATTTAATTTTCAAAACTTTCGGGATTAAGTTTACTGTTAATTGGATAATGTTATCAATGTAGAACGTTTTTCTTTTTTTTAATGTTTGTTTTAATGTTATTATTCCTATTTTTGTTCTTTATTTGTATTTCTAAACTTATTTTTTAAAATAATAAATAAATTGAATAATCAATACATTTATAAAATTAATGAATTTAAAAAATAATACCCAACAAATGCTGTTTTTGAGAAGATATTTATCTGTGTTCTTCTAATCTTTCGTCAAATTAAAGGATGCCTTGTAATGTGTCCATCCGGAACAACTATGAACACATTTAATTTAGTCGATCTTAAGAATTTGTTCTCAGAGACCATAAACTGACAATTACTCACATAAGGCATTGGACAGCAGCCATAAGAGCTGTTGGCCATCTGGCAGCATGTGGTTTCATCAGGACAGGCTGACTTCTTGTCTGGACAATCAACTGACAGAAAGTGAGGTAAGAACAGGGATCAATGATCAATACTTGTTTCCTTTCCAACTTGAAAACAAAAAGGATTTCATTAAATCTACTTTAAACAAACATGATAAGTAATGGATGCTTACTGTCGTTGGGTAGAGAAGGAATCTTCTTCATCAGCGGCACATGGATCTGACCAGACCTGCAGATCTCAAGCTCCAAGTCACATGTTGTGTTGCTGGGGCAACAATGGATATGGTCGCTGCAGCATACGGCCTGCACATGATCAAAGTATCAAATTACATGTAAATATGTGGCTTGACTTTCAGAAATAACGACTCATCAAAAGTATTGAGTCATTTTCCATCAACCAACTAACTGCTTAATTGAGTAGTACTTTCAGCTCTTGTGTATTTGCACCAGAGTCATACATACATCTGGGTAAAAGCAGCAGTTGTAGTCTCCACTGGGTGACAGGCAACAGGAGGTACCATTTGGACAGTTGCTTTTCCCATCAGGACACAACACTGAACCAACAGTTGGAGCTGTAGAACCATAAAGACCTGAGAAAGAAACATATTCATTCGTTATTAATGCAGTATCATCTGCGTATAACTGTGGAGAAAAAGATGGATGCGAGTGGCTTACTGTCGTTGGGTAGAGAAGGAATCTTCTTCATCAGTGGCACATGGATCTGACCAGACCTGCAGATCTCAAGTTCCAAGTCACATGTTGTGTTGCTGGGGCAACAATGGATATGATCCTTGCAGCATACGGCCTGCACATGATCAAAATATCGAATTACATGTAAATATGTGGCTTGACTTTCAGAAATAACGACTTATCAAAAGTATTGAGTCATTTTCTCTCAATCGACTAACTGCTTAATCGAGTAGTACTTTCAGCTCTTGTGTATTTGCACCAGAGTCATACATACATCTGGGTAAAAGCAGCAGTTGTAGTCTCCACTGGGTGACAGGCAACAGGAGGTACCATCTGGACAGCTCGTTTTCCCACCAGGACACGTCACTGAACCGACAGGCAGAGCTGTAGAACCATAAAGACCTGAGAAAGAAACATATTAATTCGTTATTAGTGCAGTATCATCTGCGTATAACTATGGAGAAAAAGATGGATGCGAGTGGCTTACTGTTGTTGGGCATAGAAGGAATCTTCTTCCTCAGCGGCACATGGATCTGACCAGACCTGCAGATCTCAAGTTTCAAGTCACATGTTGTGTTGCTGGGGCAACAATGGATATGATCCTTGCAGCATACGGCCTGCACATGATCAAAATATCGAATTACATGTAAATATGTGGCTTGACTTTCAGAAATAACGACTTATCAAAAGTATTGAGTCATTTTCTGTCAACCGACTAACTGCTTAATCGAGTAGTACTTTCAGCTCTTGTGTATTTGCACCAGAGTCATACATACATCTGGGTAAAAGCAGCAGTTGTAGTCTCCACTGGGTGACAGGCAACACGAGGTACCATTTGGACAGTTGCTTTTCCCATCAGGACACGACACTGAACCGACAGTTGGAGCTGTAGAACCATAAAGACCTGAGAAAGAAACATATTCATTCGTTATTAATGCAGTATTGTCAGCGTATAACTGTGGAGAGAATGATTAATATGAGTGAGTCTTTTTTTCTTCATTTACAAGATGTCTGTTTCACATTACAGTTTTTAAGTTGATCTTTGGCCCTTGGATGGCTTGTCTGAAGGTGTTTATTTACAACGAGTAATTCCCCACCTGCATTATTCTTCCTCTTTCTGGCAGGAAGCTTCTCCAGCATGGGGATGGACTCCAGAGAAGCAGAGACACACTTTGAGTGAACAAGATCACACTTTGTTCCCTCAGGGCAACAGTGGCGCTTATCCTCACAACACACAGCCTGCAGAGAGAAGAGAATACATTCTGACAGTCAGAGACACCCTTCAGCCGAGGACACAGTTTCCTGCAGATGATGGAAAAGTACCAATGCAGATGGGATCGGCAGCACTGATGCTGATAGCGGGAAAGGATTATAAATCACCATATAAACATAACATTTATAAATATATGGATTTTAGTTTACCAGGACCAATTAACTGTACAATTTGGACATGAATAAATCAAAAACCTCTGTACAAACAGGGTCTTTAATTTTATTTCTAATTTACCCTGTTCTCCAGTTAAAAACAAACTTAAATCTTCTTCTATGTCATCGCTAATTCATCAGTACAGCAAGAATCACCAAAGATGTGAAGCTGCCATGAATGAAACTCAACACTTTCTCCAGAATTTTCACAATAAAAATCTTGCAGTCTTCCATTTGTTAGTAGACTTTTGATTTGAAAAATATCAGGAAGTGTTAAGTTTTAATGACGCTCAAAAACAAAGAAACAACTGGAATTCATTAAAGTATGAAAACATTATTTCCATTACTGTTGCGGCTAATTTATTGATCGGTTTCTGAAACAAGAAGTATATTCTAATTAAAAACAAACAAGTTGTTCATTTCTAATTCCCATGAAGTGCTCATAACCAGAGAACCAGAGTCTTAAATAACAAGATGTTCAAAATGACAGTTTATTTGCCAGAGTGTTTTTACAGAGGAGTCACACAAGCGGCATCAGAAGCTGACTAGTGGACTGTGTAATGTGTTTCTTGGTGTGAAGTGCTTGGGGTTTGTGTTGAGCCTCTGGTTTTAGGTGATTGTTTTTGGGTATGTGTGTGGATGTGTGGGAGGGTGAGCATGTATATCACCTTGGCTAATGGACAGCAGCCCCAGGAGCCGTCAGGAAGCTGGCAGCAAGTAGTGTCATCCGGACACTCAGACTCCTGGTCCGGACAAATGACTGCCTTCACTCTCTCGCTGAGCTGCTGCCATCACAACATCACAGCCCATGAATGCCAATGACAGGAGTCAAAAAACACCAACGGCAGGATTACGAATGTTTTTAGTATATGGAATTAGAGAAAAACACACAGATTTAAGCTTCCTTTCCTGCATTATATCACATGGTACTGTTGTATTGAAAAACCACACACACTTTAAAAATGAACACACTAAAAATGTTAAGCACTGCTAGTGGCCCAACGAGACCACAGTGTTCATTACACAACACACTTCAGTATTAGACTGAACATCAAAGCTGAAATGATCAGTCAATCTACAGAAAATGGTGTCCATGTATCAAATATGTTATTTGAGCTACATTCTCTGATTACATTTGCATAACTAGAGGTTGAAGTTGCTGCCAGAACTTTATGCACCGCTGATTCTTGCATAAAAGTCGACAAACATCTAATGAGCACTAGGGAGGCAGTAAAACAAAGAATAAAAAAGTAAAATAACACACGTCTTTGACTTGACTAAGTCCTTTGTTAGAATTACCTGAGGGACGAGCCAGAACTGTTTGGCAGGAAGACGTGTCATCCACGGCAGAGAAACTGTCTTATTAACACATTTCTTGTGAACCAGATCACACAGTGTCCCCTCGTAGCAGCAGTGGAGGTGGTCTGAACAACACTCAGCCTACAGGTGGATTCAAACAAGAGAACACAACACAAACCAGCAGAAAATTATGTTCATAGTTAACTCATCAGAGCAGAGATCACTCTGTACACACCGTAAATTCTCAAAATACTATAATATCTCCTCCAACCCATCATTAATCTTGTCTGACATGCAGGTTATGGTATTGCTATAATAGAAGTGCTTGGTGAAATTTCAGATGCTCAAACATTATTAAATTCTAACTCTAACATGCCCGAGTCAGCGCATCAGAAAACTCCTGCCCTGCCCCCTAGACACTGAAACTATAGTGAAAGGTGTCAGTTTTATGTAATGTTGCTGGTACAATGTCAGTATGACCATCAGCAAATCGTTTCACTGTCTACTTTTGCTGAAAACCACATGAAATATCAAGCGTGAAAAATGGGTGAGACGCCAAAACTCTAGACGATGCACCGCAGCAGCGAAGCTCAAGCTGAGTGTCTCACACAGGCTGTTTGGCTGCTGTAACCTGACCTGAGTGCAAGTATGCATTACTATTTATAATCCAATTAGAGCTCTGACTATCAGTTGATCAAGCTAATCAATTATTGGATCTATAGGAAAACTATTCTGATGATTAATTAATCGCTTTGACTCCATTGTCTCTGCTTCTCTGGACATTTTTCAAAATTTAAAATTTTGTTTACACAATGACTAAATGATTAATCAAGAAAATAACAAACACTGTAATCAATAATAAAAATAATTATTAGTTTTAGCCTTAAATCCAATAATATAACACTGACAGGAGCTGGTCTTTAAAGTTATTTTTTTCATTTTTAAGTTATTTGTTTTAGGCTTTTTGTGCCTTTATTGATAGTGCAGTAGAGAGAGACAGGAAATGGGAAGGCAGAGAGAGGGGGAATGACATGCAGCAAAGGGCTGTCTGTAGCGGGACTTGAACCGGGGCCAACTGCAGCGAGGACTGTAGCCTCTACACATGGGGCAGATGCTCAACCAACTGAGCTACTCGACTTTTACTTGTAATGGAATATTTTACATGATACAATGATAACTTTTCTTTAATAAAAGATCTCAGCACTTTGTCTGCCACTGTTTAATTGACCAAGAAGAATTTAGTTGTGCTTGTACTCATGCAAGTGGCAAACAAGTCATTTGAACTTGCATCTATCAGCAGCAAGACCAGCAATAAGCATCACAGACAGTTTAATTCAAAGAAATCACATAACCATACGTTAACTCACACGTGGTAGAGGACAGCATCCATATCCTCCAACAGTGTTCTTGCAGCAGGTGTTTTTGTCCTCACACATGCCTCCATCGGGACAGACCAGCGCTGTGCTGAGGCCCAGCAGAGCCAGACACAGGATCCCCATCTGCAGCGCCTGAACACCAAACAGAGAGGAGACTGCTGTGAGCGGCGCAGCGTGATGAAATGTGGTCTGACAAAATATATTTAAAAAATCCTGAACTACAGTCCACAAATTCCATCTTATCATGTTGGTTTCTATGTTTCTTTCTGCTTGTGAGAAACCAATGAAATCAGTGTGGAGATGGAAAACACAGGTGAGGACGGTGTGTGCAGCAGCTCAGCAAGCATTCCAACTGATAAACTGGATTTCCACACTCAAACCCAGATTCTTGCTGTAAAGTTCATGTCCCTTTTATGTATGTTTAGCACTTCATGCTGTCAACGGCCATAACACAACACCAAAAGTCACTATGCGTAAGGTTTAAATAATATACTGGTCTACTATTAGAGTTTTTGTAGCACTCTTGATTATTTTCCTCATCAATTAATATGAATCCAACAACATTTGTAATTTTTGCATGAAAATTACTTGATAAATAATCAAAATGGTTTTCAATTAATTTTCTGTCAATTTGGAAAACAAAGCATCATACTATACACGTTTTGTATGTAAAAGTCTTAATATGTAAAGGAGGTAAAGTTGTCAAGATGATGCAGTGGTTCTGTATTTGCCTCTGAAATGTAGTAGAGCAGAAGTAGAAACATTTCATCCAGAGAACTATTAAACTCTCAAGTTGCGGCAACTGCTACGGTTGTTCTATTGCAATAAGTGGACTGCATGGCTGAACTGCACTGCACCATGATGGTCTGAGTTTTAAAGCCTGAGGATATGTGAACAGATACGACAGTAAAGCAATGATATATAACACACATGTATTATGGGCAATAAAAACAATGACAAACAGATAGTAATGCACATATAATTTATACTCCCTCCCTACTACAGCATGTGTGTTGCACTACATCTTGTACATGTTGCCTTGGTGAAAACAAAAAATGTTTTTCTCTTTTCTTTTTTTTTTTTTACACACACACACACACACACACACACACACACACATATATATATATATATATATATATATATGTGAGTATGTCTGTTTATATCAGTGTATAGTCATATATGAGGATGTGCAAAGAAGTAAAAGATCTCTACAAGTGTAAGAGCAAAATGACTTCCTTTAGATTGTTAAAAATGTGTCAGAAGTGAAGAAGCTTCTTCTGTCTTACTGAACTGAAGCTAAAAGTATGTTGTTCATATCATCACGTAACAGGAACTAAAACTTGCAACACTTTTTTTTTTTAAATTAGGGGTCAATTCATGTCGTTAAGAGTTGATTATCTTTGAAAATGATCCACTGAAGAATCAGCGCGCGCACACACACACACACACACACACACACACACACACACACACACACACACACACACACACACACACACAGGGGTGTATTAACTTAAGTAAAGGTAGAGAAGCATTATAAAGTGTCAAAGTAAAAGTACTGGTTTGGCAGTGAAATGGCTCATGTGACTGATGTACTGTATCATTATGTATGACTCAGATTGTTTATCCTGAGTCAGCAATGCTACCTCAGCATTTTACTGCTGGAGCTAGTTTTAACTACCATGCAGTTTTTTAGTTTAGTCCAATGGTTCCCAACCTAGGAGTCGGGCCCCAAAGGATCACAAGATGAATCTGAGGGGTCTTGAGATGATTCAGAGAGGTTAAAAGAAAAAAACTAAGTTCTGAGTCCTTCAAAGTCCTTCAGTAGTTGCTTGCTTGTTTTATCTTTGTTTATATTTCTTTTCTTCTTTTGCTTATTGTTATGCACCAACACACCAAATCCACCAAATTCCTTGTATGTAGAAAACCTACTTGGCAATAAATCAGATTCTGATTCGGTGTAAATTTTTCAGGCATTTCCTATAGTCTGTTTTTTGAAATATTGTAAAATTTAGCACATAGTATAGCTATGGGCCTGTCTTCAGTCCGTTTATTTGTTTACCTTCTAAATCTATCTATCTATCTATCTATCTATCTATCTATCTATCTATCTATCTATCTATCTATGGCATAACTTGAAATTTGAGTTATTATTATTTTTTGTCAATCAACTGATGCATTAACCATAAAGCATCATATTATATACTGTATTTTTTTTTTTAAATGTAAAAATCTCAATTTGTAAACTAACTATAGCTGTCAAGATGAATGTAGTGGAGTAAAACATACAATATCTTCCTCTTTAAAGTAGCGCAGCAGAAATAGAAAGTAATATAAAATGGATATACTAAAGTTTAGTATTTATACCTCAATTTATACCTAAGTACAGTACTTGTTTAAGCGTATTTCGTTAATTTGTACCACCTGTTGTCAGTCTACTTTACCATTTTTATCAGATGACTTGAGTCAGAGGCAGAGTTCAGTTGTTATTAACGTTGAGCACTGCACTGCATACTCCTTGTACAGCCTACAAAACAACAAAACAACAAAAAAAAACACCATTAGTCAACGATAATCTAGGAAAACACTGAGCGATACTATAATATATATATAATATATATAATACTTCCTATATAAAAGTTTGCAAAAACATGTCGCAAGACAAAACAAACCGTAACGAGCTAGTCCACAGCAAAACAAGTCAAATTAGCTTAGCATGCTAGGTTGGTTGCTAACGGTAAAGCTAACGCGTTTGAATGACTTTTTAACGGATGTTATTTTTTTCCGTCTGTGAAACTGAAGCGTGTTTCTCACCTGGTGGTTTCAGCATGAAGTCCAGACTGTCACATATGTGTCGTATTTAAAGCAGTTTCCTATTATCCAGGACTGACTGAAGCTATTTTTTGATTCACAATTCAGCAATCACATGACACACGCAGCCTCATGTGACTGTGACTGTGCAGTGTGGAAGAGTGTGATGTGTGTGTTTTAAAGGCACATTACCCAGCGTACTGGATATTAATGCGGAAGTGAAAATGTGATGAAAATGTGAAAATTTGTCTTTTTTTTTATTTATATTTGTTCATTTTTTTTATTATTGTTTTTCTTCTGTTCGTAGAATTTTTTTAATATGTTTCTTTTATTTAAAGAGCTGATATGTCTGATTGTAAATGTTCCAATTTAAATAAATGGAAGTACCCATTCCAAAGTAAAACTGTTAATACCACACTGTAGAAATACTGTGAGTCTGTTTGTGTATGTATTTGTGTAATTGTTTAGTACTAATGCAGTCTGCTACAACAGTCCTGCAATAAATCCTCCTCCAGTTTTTGTTTAAACTGTGTTAAAGAGTTGATGATGTTCATTTTGGAGGATATAGTCTGTACTGCTGTTTAACTGCACCACATTATACAAAGAGGTGTGTTTCCCTCTTTGTTTTGAATGGAGTGGGCAGAATAATAGGAACACCTGTCAACATAATGCAGTTCAGTTCAACAACAGCACCACAAGTTACAGCCCCCAAAATGATCACCAGTGTTAGGGAAGCTACTTTGAAAGGATAGTTAAAAAAAGTATTCATGGGAAATTGCAAGGAATGTCAGCTTTGGTTTAGTATACAATAACTGCTTAAGTATGGCCATAGTGATTCTTCGTCAGGCTGAGATTCGGGAGGTTTATCCATGATTGCAAAAATTCAATACCACTAGAATTACATATTGATTGAGAAAGAGTGAGAACTTGACCTTTTATCATATGAAAAACATGTCTCTGTTTACATTTAATTTAATGCTCTAATCATAATTTGCTATGCTACAATATCAGTGTAAAGGTGTAATACAAATAAAACAAATAGCATTGCTTGTTTAAATGTTTCTTTGTGTTCAATTTTGAAAAGAAAAACTAGTCTCTCCCTTTCAAAATAAAATCCCAAAAGCTGACAGACTGTGGGAACAAATTTATTTCTATTTTGTCTCATGTACAGAAAGAATCAATTTACAGTTTACAAACAACTGACCAGGTTTATGAAGCAAATGATTTACTGCACAGGATGAAGACCTACAGTTCAATCCTCCTGACCTTCATAAGAATCAAAAAATCCAACAAAGCAGGTTTAAACGTGTCTCTCGAGGGGGGGTGAAATCAGCTGTGACTGAATACTCTCTGAAACTGTCCAAACACAAGTTCACAAAATCTACTGAGAAACACTGATCTCTTGTGTATAAAAACAAAAACAAGCAAGGAAAGCCACAATTGCACAACTCATAGTAATTCCGTATCTGGCCCCAAAAAAATGTACATTTACAGCAGTGGACACAACAGTTCAGTAGGAATCGTTTCATGGCTGCGTTACTCTTCAGACTTAGACTTTAACATCACATTTTCAGTTTGTACTGTAGGCTACTGACACAGGCTTATGAACAGCAAGCGAATGGTGAAAAGGGAGCAAGAAGTCAGCATGACTTTTATACAGCCTTCAAGATTTTCACTTCATAATCAACCTATTACTCTGCAACAAAACAAAAACAAAAACAAAACAAAACACAAACTTTTTCAAGTGTTCGAAACTTGTGAGCTTTTACAAATCTGCTAGATGACATAATTAAGTTCACAGTTGCTGATGCGTCGCCGGCAGTGGTGATGCTAGTAACAGCGGGAGCGTGTTGGTCAGTATGTTATTGTTGTAAACATTTACGACCGGAAGTGAATTTTGTTAGAACTGGATTAAGGGGGAAAAAAACAGTGTATCTTCATATAACCAAGTTCATTTGGCAACACAATTCAATGCGCCAGTGCATCATCATCATTAAGTGCCAAACATCCTCAAAAAAGGTTTCATTAAAAACACCCTATTCTACATGTTACATGCACATCATACTGTATAGACATAAAATCTCATATAGTTCATCATACCATTTACAAGTTTGGTGAAAAAGAGGATAGGTATAAGAAATTAAGATATCCAAGGATGTAATAGCCGCAAGAAAAGTTGTCAGTTTTGGCAGGCATGCTCCCCAGAGTGACATGTTGTTGTTGCTGTTGTTACCACAATGCAGTGTGCTTATTAGTGCCTGTCAATCTCGACAGCGTGGTTTAGGTGACGACTGACTGCATTTGAAAAAAGGGACCTGCATGCCTATCACTCGATCCTATGTGAAAGAAGGCACTTACAGGAGAGAAGTGGTACAGGCCCTGTCTACAAACAACCCCTGCAGACCTCAGTAGAATATTAAATAGGTAAATCTTCAAGTAAAGTGATGTTTTTGCTGCGCCATATCTGTTTTAGACCATGTTTCTTGGCGATTAAGGGGGGTTGTCTACGCAAGAGCCCGAAGAACTGTCAGGGGCTTTTGTTGCCTTTTCTTTATTTCATACATTCATATGCATGCAACCTTTCTATACCAAACGGTCTTTCAAATGTCTGGGAATCTATTTACACACACAAAAAAAAAAAGATATCTCAACAACAGGAGAAAAAGGCAGAAATGCATACTTTTGGCAGAATTGTACAGTTGATCACTGTGATAAATCGATGACAGAAAGGATGACAGAGAGACTTGAAGATGATACTCAACGCTTTCAAATCATTACTATCTGAATAAGTAATTACAACACATGAACACAGTACAGGAGGAAGAGGAAATCAAGTACATCCCTGAAGGAGCAAAATGCAAGTCGCGTCAGACGTGGTATGGTTTGCATTATCCGTTCACAGGGGCTCAAGAAAGAAAATAATCAATACAATTGATAGGTTCCCTAAATATTCAGGCTTTGGGGAGATGTTTCCTTTAAAAGAAACTTTTTCTAGTTACAGTTTATGACAGGGGAGAAGTCAAACAAACACAGGCGCACATCTTCTAACATCAATATGAGCCTTTGTGTAGAGTAAGTCATGGGAAGGAAATCTAATTCACCTAAATCCCCATCAATCCCATAAAAATGTCATCCACTTCCAAATACTTGGTAATTATCAATCAATCAATTCTAAAATCATTAGTAAGTGCTTTATTCTTATATTTTGCTCTATAAAATGGCTATTTCCACAGTCGGTAGATGCAATGGCTCAGACGATGGTTCAGTGATGTGATAGGTGACAGGATTCACAATAAACTGGACAGATCTCCAGGTCTACAATAGGTCATCTCAGTGGACACCAGTGGGATTAACTGACAGTGAGACTACGAGAGTAATCAGAAAGTGCGAGAGCACCTCACCAGAAACACAAGTCAAACAACAGCCTGAAAAATGGACCAGTGAAGCATGGTTGTGCTATTGTGATTTCTCCCGGTCAAAACATCACTCTTCTCCCATGTTTGATGTGGAAAGATTCCCCTTTGAAAAGATTGTTAAAGGCCCAGTGTTTCGTAAGTTCAAAAAAAGCTCACTTCCTTGGGTGGAAGACCATGAGAGGCCTGTCTTCAATCTTCTGCCATGGGCTCTTCTTGTTCTCGTCTTTGTCGTCTGGATCATCCTCGGGACTGGTCATGGAGTCGCGGCGGTTCTCGCTGTTGCTGCTGCGGCTGCTGTTCACACGACTGCGTCCTCGTCTGGGGATGGTGGATCCTCGGGAGGAAGGACCTTCATCCAGAAGAGGGGTGAGGGAGTTCTCCTCGGGTGAGACAGGGCGTCCCTCGCTGCTGCTGGGTTCGCTGTGGTCAGGGTAGGCCAGCTTGGAGTAACTCTTCCCACCGCCGCTGCTGACACCATGGCCCTTCCGTCCTCCCGTTCCCCAGCGGTCATCTTTCCCCTTCCGGTTCACTGCTGATTTTCGTTCTTGAGCCTCCAGAGGGGGTTCAAGGTTGATGTCTCGCGGAGTGCTGCTGGAACCACCTCCAAATCCACCACCACCACCACCACTGAGGTCATTCCCAACATCTATGTAAGAGTGGCGCACATGGGCGTTAGCTCGTCCATCCAGGGAGATGAACCATGCCCTTGGGTGTTGTTTTACACCCAACTCCAGGAGCTTCTTCTCGGTCAGAGCCTGTAATTCTCCGTTCATCTGAGCCATGGTGGAGTCGTTGAAGAGCACGGGGATGGTCACAGGTCCACCGGAGGAGTCGGACGCCCAGCTCGGCTCCTCAGAGTCGTCACCTTGGGATCCACCTTGCTGCTGCTGCTGTTGCTGCTGTTGGCCTTGTTTCTGGGAGTGGTGGTGATGATGTTGCTGGCCTCCTCCCATCTGTGCACCATCTTTGTCTTGCTCCTTCTGGTCCTTTCCATCTTTACCAGAAAACTCAGAAGGCAGGCGCATGTAGTGGGCTGGAATGACCAGGGTTGGCACCATACTCCTGTACATGTTCTCCTTCATCTGGTCAATGGAGCTGCAGAAGATGATTTGACCTGGTTGGGTGTTGAGGGAGGTGGGTCTGGCGAGGCTGTCAGCTGCTGCTGCTGAATAATCTGGAGGTTTGTCAGACTGGCTCGGCACATAGCCTTGGAAGCGAGGCGGAGATGGGGGATCGGAAGAGTACCCTCGATTGTCATTGGCGTTATGGTGTCGGTGATATTCAGACTCTTTGCCCTCCATGGGGCTGTAGCTCCGGTTGTAGTCTTCATGCAGCAAAGGGTTGTCCAAGTTGTTGGTCTCTGTGGCACGTGTAACCTTCATGGGGAAGCTTTCCCCTCGTTGGGGACCTGAGGCATTTTTTGCCTTCGCGTGTCGCAGCATGTGAGCCGGGACATGTTTGGTTAGGTCCTCCCTTGAACTCTGGTAGTCTCGAGATGGGGACATGTCAGATTTGTCATTAGAAGGACCAGATTCAACATGGCCTCCGCAGATCAGGTTTAGGCGTGACGTAGATGTACCCTGGTCTCTCTTCGCTCCGTTCAGATTAGAAGTGTGGGGTTTGCCTTGTTGTCGACGAGGTTTCAAACACTTCCGCCTAAAAAGTAAAGAGACACCAAAGATCAGAAATGAAAGAAGCACCTTTTGTCTGCCAGGATATTGAAAGAAGACTCTGATCTAAAATTAAACCCGCATTCAGCACCAAAATCTCTGCTGACATTCTGTCATTTTTGCTATTGATAGAAACCTAGACCCAGAGACCTGCGCCTACGCTCCCCACACCTGCAGTAGTAGAGCAGCACGCAGAGCAGGATGAGCACCAGCAGGGCCAACGAGCCCAGGATGGAGAGCAGGAACAGGGTGTGGTAGGTGGTGATGTCCCTCAGGCCCGGGTGAGACAAACCCAATCCTGCAAGAAAATTCATGGTAGAAAGATGTCTAAGGATCATTCTGGAACTTGACATTCTTACCACGCTGTTTGGTATACTTCAGATTTTATATAATAAAATGGGAAAATTCACTTATGTTGTGAGAATAAATTCACCCAATTGTCTCCATCAGATCAGTTAACATTGGTTAAACTGGGAAACATCCAATACTGGATCAACATTTATGTAACATTATGTAGAGAGGGTAGGTGTAATAAGCTATAACCTCAGCCTACACCTTTTGAGCCAATATTTGTGTATTTCATTTCAATGTTTATTTACTATGTATAAATATTAACAAGGACCGAAATAAAATTGAACTGAACTGGAGTGAAGAACCGATGTTTTTCAAATAAACATGAAACATACAAATGTTTTCATTAGCCATGCTAGTGTCATGGCTCAAGGGATGGCAATGTTCTTTGTTTGTTTGGTCCGCCACTTTGGTCCAGACGGAAATATCTAATATTTGATTAATTATTATGACATTTTGTACAAGCATTCATGACCCCCTGAGGATACAGTGATTTTGTGCACCTAGCACCTCCAGCAGGTCAAACATTTAACTTTACCAAGGAAATATCTTAACAGCTACAAAATGGATTGGCATAAATTTTGGTACAGATGTTCATCGTCGTCAGAGTATGAGACTTTGATGATCCTCTGACTTTTCCTCTGCTGCTATGAGGCTGACATTTTTGTCTTTTCTGTGAAATATCTTGACGATAGGGCTGTCACATTTTCTAAAAACTCATGTTTGAAGAACTCAAACAAATTTAAACACAATGAGTCCTCAGATTGGTTATAGTTGTAGAGTAAAGCAGCGGACAGCCTCATCTTTGTCGTTAATTTTGTCATCTATGGTGAAGAACCCAATATATTATTACTGCTGCTATTTAGCAAATGTTATCAGGCTAAAATGCTAAACTAAGATTGCAAACATGGAAACATTATTATGTTAACCTTAACATTTTTAGCATGTTGCTATGCTAACAATAGCCTTCCAGCCTCACAGAGCTGTTACTGTAGCTGTAGACTCTATTTAGCTTTTGGGCAACAGTGGAGCTAATGGAGCTGAAATATATCAGGCTTCGGATACACACACAGTACTTGTTAGTAGGACACCTTCATTTTTAGTTTTCAAACAGAGTTTGCTGACAACAAAAAATGTAAAATATCACCAGCCTTATCTCTTGAAGTGGGTTTTTATCTGGTATGTGTTTTAACTTCGTCCAGGAAAAAAAATAGCATATTTAGTGCTTTTATCACAGCAGCTTTATGAGAAGATTACCAAATAAAAGGTTTCCCTGGACCGATATCAACATGATGTTCTGGACTTAAAAGTAATACCTGCGCTTCAGTACCAAGAAGGTACCAGGAACATCTGCTGGCACAGCAACAACAATGAAGATGATAAACAACCCAAACAGGAGAACGGAGGGTGAGATGAGTTACAGCACCTGAGGATGATGGGAAGGCAGCCAACCAGTATCCCATCTGAGGAACCACGACATTCCAGACAAACTGTGTGCCATCTTTTTTGATGTAGCCCGTCCCGTTCCTAACCCACAGTCCTGGAGAAACAGAAATGATGATCGTTAAATACATACATACAGCTTTAGTTACTTGTTATACAGAGTAAGATGTTTACATACAAAATGTATGAGTAGCTGACAAAATATGATGCTCAATTATAAATGAAACTGCCCGACAGTGTTTACAATCAGAGCTGAAACAATTAGTCCATTAATTATTTTGACAATCGTTTTCCTGATTTTACTTAAGTAACATTTTCCACACAGTTTTGGGTTTTGTGGTATTAGTACTTTTACTTAAGTAAAGGATCTGAATACTTGTTCCATCTCTGTGGATTACAATCAAAATCAAATTTCATACCTAAATTTAAAAAATATGTTTTTGCAACTATATTTTACATTACTGGACACGGTTGTTTCACTGCATCTATGATTTATGTGTTTTCCTCACCCGTCTTAGGCTGATACAGCCAAGCAGGTACACTTGTGGCCATCCTGTTGCGTGTGTCAGACGGCAGCGGCACAGAGATGTGGATCGGGTCCGAGACCTGGATTGCGACACCATCTTTGTCAAAGAGCTGAATGCTGACCACCGCCAAAGCTGTCAAGTCTGTCCAACCTGTTTCTGCACCTGAACAGGAGAAGTCGGTGACATCAGCTTCAACACTTTTTTTACACATCTCGTTATGTGATTTCAAATAACGAGCCTAAACCAGTAAGGCTTGTTCTCAGCAGTGATTTCTGTCTCCTACCTGAGCTGTTGGTCTCTTGGCCCAGGAGAAACGGGAAACCGCCGATTTCATACTGACTCCTGGCTGTGGTCATTGCGGCCGACAGCGCCGTGTAGTTGGAGTTGGAGGGCAGCTGGAGGGACTTCCTTTGGAGCTGCACCAACGGCTGGTTACGAGCTCCTGAAGAAAAAGAAACCACAGACACTCCCAGTCTGTAAATCCTGCAGCTACCGTTATTTATTTTGTCCTAATGTGTTTTAAATGTGTAAACATGGTGTTACTGTGGTGTATACTAAGAAAAAGTACTCTTCTGCAGCTGTTGCTATGGCGACAGCTGCAGCAAATAACACAGGGTCATCTAAATGTTAAGGAGTGAAATATACGGAGGCCTGAAGAGACACAGGGGAGAGGAGAGGGGTGATCTGTCTTCACTCTATGACACTCTCACAGACTAATTTAAGACGTGATGACAGAATAACTGTTGAAGGGTCAAACTCAACTCCCCAAGCAACTAAAAATGCACCATCATTTTCTAATAGATGTACATTTTATAAAATAGTCTTCCTGTGATTCAATAAATTGTGAAAATAAGAAGATAATCCCTCATAAATTCAAGGTGTGAAAGGGTAAGTGAGCAGACACTATGCATCTGGAAATGTTCAGGTTTTTAGGAAAAAAGAAAAATGGACAAATGTGGTTGTTATTGTTACCTGGTGACCCAGACAGCACCTGCAGGACATCATCATACAGAATAAGAGTCCCTGGCCTCTGAACGAGGAGGTACAGGCTGACTGATGCATACACTAAAAAAAAAGAAAAATTTAAATTAGCACAGTAGATCTCCAGGTGCAACAACAAAGCTGAGACTGAGGGTGTCTGCAAGTTAAATTCAATTTTTAGTACCATATTTAATATATGAAAGTATGATAAAAAAGCAGTAGAACTGGTTTTATCAGGACTTCCCAACTATATATAGCGGCCCTACAAAGGCAAAATTCAACTTCATACTTGGTCAACACTGAATTATAATCTGTATCTGATTTCCTGTTTTATTATATAAAGAATATATAAAATAATAATATATGTAATATAAAAAAAACTATGTTTGTTTATTAGCCTTTGTTCATTTTGAATGAACAGAGTGAACAGAACAAACATTCAAATATTCATGAAAACCCTCCATCCCACTGCTAATATCTCATGTCTCTGTGAAATTAAGAAATAAAACCTAATAAAAATAACTTTAAATATTGAGTTATACATGTAGGTTGTAGTGGTTATACACAAGAATCTAAATAAATTGAGTAATATGCACAAGTCAAAATAAACAATGAAAAAATGGACATAATTCTGGCTTTATGATCTAGTTTTTGTGGGTGTAGATTTTACCCCTGGTTGTTTTCTGTAAATGAAAAAGATCCATTTTGTTGAACTTTATATATACACTGTTGCTCATAAAGTTGGAGTAAAATATTTTTTACCTCTTTCCATGAAATGTGCCAATGTGATTTATTCTTGACAGATAAAGTGTATATCTTCTCAAAACTTTAGTAGTCAATCTCTTCCAAACATATCACAATGAAAATGAAACCACAATTAAACTGAAAACAAAATTATTAAATAAATACTAAATATATATACTAATATAATTTTTTTTGTAAATGCCTTTCAAGGCACTCAAGGGCACCTTGCAACACAGTAAAAGAAATAAAATAGCGAGGATAATTAAATTAGAATAAATATCATTGCATAAACAATTAAGCAGAATAGGCAAGTTTGAAGAGGGAGTTTCTAAGCAGATTTATGGACATTCAATCAAGAAGAAAAAACTTTTCGAGGAAACTAAATTAAATTCTTTGTGAGACTTTTCACAAGGCAGATTTTACAGAGCATCAGAATCATCACAGGGAAAAACAGAGGAGGGTGAAAGTACATTTCATGCTAAATAAACTGACGTACAGGGGATGCGGCTGGAGTGCCAGGGCACAGAGTTGGTGACATAGTCTTGTTTGGAGGCTGTGATGATGACCCATGTTCCCACGCGGTACAGGAAGCTGACCCTCAGGACGCCATCTCTGCCGGCTCTGCTGGACGCTAAGACGGTTTGATTCCCGTGGACTTCCACCTGAGCGTCGGCCAGTGGCGACAGGTCGCTGTTGTCAAACACCTGGACTTTTATTTGCACCTCTGTAAGAACATAAAGAGAAAACGGTCCAAATAATTTTACACGGATCTGGCATTACTAGTTCGTCAACAGAGAACCGATTAAACATTTAAATTATTTATTAAGCAAAAACTGTCAAACGCTTCCTGGTTCTTAATCTTAATTTAAAACACCTTAAATTTGAAGACTGAGTTAAGGTTTCCTTAAAATAAAAACAGTTGCACAAAACACCCTTAAGTCTTCTCCCTCTCTAGGTCCTTAAAATGGTCACTTAAGTCTTTGAGAGTTTTCTCCTTATCTTAGTCTATAATTAAGGAAGCACTTAAAGTCAGTTAAAGGCTAACTAAACTAAAGGCACCTCTGACTCCGTCTTAACTGCAACATGGCCACGTTTAAGGCAATAAATGAAGAAAATGAACCTTTTAAGAGTTTCCAAGCAACACCCTTAACTAACTCCCTCAGCTAAGGAGACATTAAACCTTAAGTGTCATACTTAAGTCAAAAACTAATGGTGTTTTGTGCAACAGGACCTAATTTGGGGTTTGGATATTTTTCAGTTATTTTTCAGTAGCGGAGCGACTTTATATCGTGTGCATCATGTGGAAGGATTATTATATTTTTAATGAATTTATTAATCATGGAATCTCTACAGTCCGACTTACAAATATTAAATCTACAATCATATAAAACAGAGAAATTTGGTAATACAACACTTTACTGGTCCCTTATTTTTCAGGTTCAGGGCCTGTGAATCACCACAAACATCTGATCTTTATTTAAGTAGCTGTGATGTTGTGCTCAGTGACGCTTGTGCCACCAGTTGGAAAAACAAGAAGTCATCCGAGAATGGAGGCATCAGGTTTGTGTGACAGACACATAAACAGCCACAAAAACAGTGACAAGAAGGAAAGAGATCAACGCAGAGGGAACAACTCTTGAATCAACAGATTTCTCCGATAGAAGCAAAACACAATGAATCAGACTGAATCATGAAGTGAAACAAAACGGCAATTCAGTTTGTTCCATTAATTAACAAAGAGAAAAGAACTGGTATGTAACTATAAATTTATATCCTATATTTTATTACTAATTGTGTTAATTAGTAGACATCCAGTTAATTAATCCACAGCGTACACTTCAACATGTGAGGAGAGCAGAGTTTCCAGTGATACACGAGCAATGAATAAATATTTGCTTGGGTTAAATGAAACAGAAATCTTCTCACAATATTTGAGGTTTTTAGCCTGATAAATTACAGTCCAAAGTCCAACTCGCTTGTTATTTCATACGCTTTCAAACACATCTCATGGCCTTCCTCTGCAGATGGACCGAATCAACTTAACCGTCTCCATGACAATTGAGTATCCCTCCACCCATCCATCCATCCATCCATCCATCCGCAGACGAAGACCAAAATATGTCGCTGAAAGCTTCCAAAACGACAAGAGTTGGACCTTGTTGGACCCTAAAATGTTTCCAAGGTCAAGAATGAACCTCCAAGCTCGGATTATATAACAGATTGCTGACAGGTTTTAGCACTAAATACAACAGTAGAATAGAAAAGAGTAAATATTTTTTTCAGCTCAAACTTTTGCAGTATTTGCCTTCCGGTCACAGATTCCTTGTTCCACTCAACACTGTAATGTTAAGGCAGTAATTACACTGGAGCCGGGCTCGATTCATCAAGTCACCCTCGGCTGTCGTACAAGGACAACATCATTATGCGACAGTGTAATGATCCTGTCCATAAATGACCTCCAGAGTCAGGGGAATATGTTCGCATAAAAACAAACGACGAGCTCACAACAGCACACCATGTCACTGTTGGCTGGAGGTTTACAAATTCTGACACTGTGGGCCCCTGTGGGCCCCTACTCAGACAAAACTGAAACAACTGCGTCCTGTTTTGTTTTTCAGATGCTCAGGTTTCCAACACAAAATGAGAAGTTAATGGATTTTGTAGCTCTGAGTTAAACTTTCCTTGAAATAAAAACAGTTTTACAAAACACCCGTAAGTCTTCTCCTTAAAGTTTCCTTAAAATGTACACTTAAAGGTACACTTAAGTGACTCCCTCAGCTAAGGAGAGATTAAACCTTAAGTGTCATACATAAATAGAAAACTTTAGGGTGATTTTGTGCAACCGGACCCAGGCTTTTTGTTTTGAAATACATTTTTTTTTTTAAACCTACATATTTGTTCACATTTTGGCAAACTGACGCCAATAAAAGCAGCCAAATTACTTATTAGCACTTCCTGTTTGCAGTGTTGCCATGGTGTACAGACGACTGTCACTGGATCACTGTGACGCTGAAGGAAACATAAAAACGTTATGAAGTTCTGAGTTATGAACCTCGTTGTTTCCCTTAACCTGTGATTTCCAAGTGAATTTATGGAAGTTTACTCATGACAGACACTGGAGCTAATGATCCTGACTCACGCTTCCTGAATCCACAGAATCTAAAAATGTGTGTATCATGTCTGGATTGTTATAAGTGTATAAGTGTTATGAGTGTGAATTGTGTCACAAGCGCTGCTGCTATTTCAATTGCCGACTATGTCGATAAACTACTGACTTCCTGTTGATTTCAGAACAGCAGCATCCACTTGTCCTATTCGCATCATGCAGTATTTCTTTTGTTTTTTGTCTCCCTTCCTCTGGTGCAGACCGGTCATTTCCAGTAGTGATGATGTTCGCAGTCATCACAGACACACCCATCACATCACAAATCCATTGCGTGGCTATTTCTGCCCTTCATCTTTCCCTGTGTTTCAACCCCAGAACATTTTGTTTCTCATCTTGCTTCTTGGACGGCCTGGATGTGGGTCACGCTGGGGGGTTGTTTCCATGGATACGCACTGACTCTCCAAAAAGCTGGCTTGTTGTGCTTCCTCACTACGAGCTGTCGTCCTCTAACCCCTCTGGGCCTCCAGCAACAAAGCCCTCGACGCACAACTTTACAGTGACAGTACTAATGGCTGCATTCAGATAATAAGCAGCATGTATGTGTGTGTATGTCCGTATCCATTGTTTGTGTAAATGCTGTCAGCCACTACCATAATTGTTTCAATAAAGGCTCTCTTGTGTGTGTGTGTGTGTGTGTGTGGAGAGGATTTCCTCAATCTGGGCTCAGCACTTAAAACACTGTGGCTTGAAGCAGCTCTATTGACAGAAACACTGAGAGTCACAGTGTCACATTGATGAGAGTCTGGGAAATTTTTCACTCTCCCACAGTCCTTCAGCAGAGATTTAGTGGAATATAAACCCTCCTCAAACTCCAAGATAGATCCTTAAAACATTGATTCTCACTGTGTTTATCAAAGTCTGAGGCGGGAGACTGAGATTTTGTAAGAATTTAGTCATTAAGCTGTTTTCTTTAAATATAGTCAACATGTATCACAGCTTTTCTAAAAGCACAATATGGCTGCAACTAACAACTATTTTCATAATGGCTTCATGTGTTTGGTCTGAAGAAAAGACCTAAGAGCCAGGCCTTGAGAAGTAAGTAAAAGTAGCAAAACCACAATGTAGAAATACTCAAGTAAAAGTCTGGCACACAAAATGTCACTTCAGTAAAAGTATAGAAGCATCAGAAAAACCTGCCAGTGTTATGTTATTATATGATATATTATAGGATAGTTCAAACTGATGCATTAATGAGTAAAAATCATGTTTCTGTTGTAGATAATCCAACTTTTTCTACTGTCTGAGATTAAATTTATGACAAATCGCATTTTATGAGCTGATTATGTGTTTGTTTGTTTTGTTTCCTTTTCTGCAATGTAACTGTAGCTGTCAAATAAATCCTGTACATTAAATGCTACAGCATTACCAGTAAAAGTACAGCCCTCTTTATACAGGATGGCCTCTTTCAATCTGTTATTGATTATGTATATTGTGCTACTTATTAATACTGATATGCAGCAAATGTTGACTACTTTGGTTAGTGTTGGATTGTTCAAACTAAAATGCATCATAGATAGATAGATAGATAGATAGATAGATAGATAGATAGATAGATAGATAGATAGATAGATAGATAGATAGATAGATTCTTTATTTATCCCCTAAGGGAAGTTCAGGTTTGATACTATAATATGTTTTATATGTAAAATGTAAAACCTGCAAAGTAACTGTAACTCAGATAAATGATAATATAGTGGAGTAAAGAGTACAATATCCACCTACATAGTAACAAGACATGAAAACTACAGTGGTAAAGTACGAGTACCTCAGAATTGTACTTGAGTAAATGTACTCAGTTACACTCCACCTCTGTCTGTGACCATCCATGCATCTCAAAATAGCTTGAAGCAGAATACAACGTAATTACATAATGTCCTTCAAAATGCACACCATAACATAAACAGTGCTGCAGCTGCATTATTTAACGCGTCATCACTGCCTTTGCTTCATGTAAATTCCTTTTGGGCCTCAAATGTGTCTGCTGGGTCGGTGACTGACACATCCACAGGACCTCGGGCCATCCAGTGTCATTAATGTGCAAAGCAAAAAAGAAAAAAAAAAAGAAATAACACACGAAGGCCTGGTCTTATACAGCAAGTTAGGCCTGACATTACAGCAGACTATAATCAAGGCCCGGAACAATCAGATCTCAGATCTGCTTCTCTAACCACACATCTGAGCAGCATTTGAGCACGAGCAGCCCTTAAACACTGGTGTGGCCCTCTGTGTGATATCACCTCATGGATATTTATGAATCTACAGAATCAAAAACAACGTTATCCACCGGACACGATGTAAGAAAAGAAAAGAAAAAAAAAACCCCATCGTCCCCTAAATCCACCTCCTCTATGCAACTTGATATCAAAGCTGAACGCTGCAAGGATCGACGGTTTGGTCGACAAAACCAATAAAAACGCAACCACTCCCATCTCCTCATTGTGCTGTGCTGCATCCCCCGTATGGCGAGCTTACCAAATGCTCCCTGATCTGGAAGAGATTTGGCCAGCGCCTCCCAAACCGCGCAGATCGACGCGAACAGGAGCAAACGAGAGATGCAGTCGGCCGGCATCCTTGCAACTACATCTCTAGTCCCAGCTCGGCGGCCATGTATCCATATTTTCTCCCAGGCGATAGCGAGGTTTCTTCACTCCTCAGACATTGCTCGGGTGCCAGGCTTTGAATGGGGCTGAGATGCTGCCGTCTGTGTGGGCTTCGCCTTGTTTTTATTGTCTGAGGTGGAGAGCAAAAAAAGGGCGCTACGTTTCCCTCTGCTGATCTCAAGTGGAACAGCTTCTTACTCTGCACAAATCTGGATCTAAGTGGATCTACTTTCTTTTGTCACAATTCACCTCAGAGTAGATTTCACAACATTTCAATTTACAAAGGAAAAAAATGTCGGAAGTCAAAATTATGTGACAGCCTGATAAACTGTTTAAATAACAAACAGGCCTGTTCATTTGTTTATATTAGACCTATATTTCAGTGGTGGAAAGTATATTTACTCAGGTACCTTACTTGATAGGTCAATAAGTCATATACAGAATTATCAGGGAAATATTTCTAAGTATCAAAAGTCAAAGTTTTCATAGTATAGAATATTATATTGCTCTATAGTCTTATAGTGAGATGGCAAAATGAAACTTCTGGACTAACATATACCTGGGTGCTTGGCCCGAGTCTGGCCCATATACCTCAACATCTGGGCAGATTCGACTGTATCCTTTGGTATTGGCTGACAGCCGTATAGACTATATATGCGGCAGACTCAGGCCGTGGAACCCACTGGATACTGGGCCAGAAGAAAACAATCTATCTATCTATATCATAGATGCATTGATATGTAAGTAATGTAGCTGGCCAGTGTGGAGCTTAGATGGCAGCAAAGAAACGCCATAATAATTAGAGTAAATGTGAAATGTGATGGTGCCACTTCATTTATAGCATTAAAATATTTTACTTTCATCTATTTGATATTAAATTTTTGAATTTCAAAACATATTTTTGTGTGTGGTCATGGATTCAAATAGAAAAATCACCCAAATGAAACCAATTTAATATCATTGAACCTTTAGTTTTGCTGTCTGAATTTCATCGGTCCAATTTTTCCAAGGACCGTCCAAGTTTTCACCTGTGTCCGTTAGTCAGCAAGGATTATGCAATAACTACTGAAAGTATTTGCACCAAACCTGGTGAAGGGATGAGCCATGGGCTGGGGAGGAACCCGTTAAATTTTGGGTCATATATGGATTATTTACTATGACTTTTAATATTTATTTGGTGAGGTCTGGTTTCTGTTGTTTGACATTGGCCTTGGGCGGCTGTCTGCCCGTTTAGCTAGGACTGGACCTATAATTGTAGATTTGACAAATGATCAGTTAAATTTGAATAACTTGAATGGAGTTTATTTGGATATTGGACATTTGATTTCCGTAAAAAATAAAAAAATTTATTTGAATGTTTAATGTTTTTAAATTTGCTCAGCTTGAAATCTCTTTCTGAAGTTTACCTGAGGGTTTAAATAACACTAGGTATTCAGTTACCTCTCTTTGTTTCAATAAGCCAACTTTATCTACTTGAAATGCTATTGGATAGTTTAATCTATAACAGTGCAAAGAAAGTACTTACAAAGTAACTAAGTTGTTAAATAAAGGAGTAAAAGGATGAAGTGGAAGTGTTTTGGACACGTGGTGCAGTGGCTATTTTAAGAATATTTAGATTTAAGAATATTTCAATATAACTGCTGTTATGATTNTTGATTTCCGTAAAAAATAAAAAAATTTATTTGAATGTTTTTAAATTTGCTCAGCTTGAAATCTCTTTCTTAAGTTTACCTGAGGGTTTAAATAACACTAGGTATTCAGTTACCTCTCTTTGTTTCAATAAGCCAACTTTATCTACTTGAAATGCTATTGGACAGTTTAATCTATAACAGTGCAAAGAAAGTACTTACAAAGTAACTAAGTTGTTAAATAAAGGAGTAAAAGGATGAAGTGGAAGTGTTTTGGACACGTGGTGCAGTGGGTATTTTAAGAATATTTAGATTTAAGAATATTTCAATTTAACTGCTGTTAAACAAGAAAACAAATACATTGATTGATTGATTCTGGTAGTGACGAAAAATCTTTAATTGAGACAACATTTTGAAAATCATGTGTGGACATATAATCTACAGACAGTATCATTATCAGTTAACAGAATTAATGAAATATTAAAATCCAAAGCCTTTATTCCACAGGTTTTTTTTTTGTTGATTTATTTTTTTGTAGACTGGGAATCATGACACCAGTATTTCAAAAATCCTGGCTACACCCCTGTATTTTATTTTATTTTTTAAACATTTCATGGTGACATATTGTGCATTTTATTCCGCTACATTTATCTTACAGTGACAGATACTACAGTTATTATACAGTTATATAATACAGTTACTTCACACATTCATATATTCATATGCGTAATGAGTACTTTTACTTCAAGTACATCTTGCTGAATAATGCTGTATTTGGACTCAAATAAAAAGTATGCAGCATTTGTATGTGCTTTTTATTTATTTGTTTATTTTTTGGTTTATTTATGTAGGGTTAGCACAGCTTTTGTAGCCTAAGCTAATTTGCAATGCCTGTCCCTGGAAAAATGAAAAATACACAAGCCTCAACAAGAAAATACACAACACAAACAAATTTGAATGATATAATGCAATAAAACAACAAGAGCAAGTATTTTTCATTATGGCATTGTTACTTTTACTATTTTGAAGCAGATCTTGACAAAGCTAAATATAAAACAAGTATTCTTTGCTATGTTTGTTTCTTTAAGCATAAAAATGTTTATCTTGTTTGTGTCTTGGTGGCTGAAAAACTGAAGCAGCTCAGTTCAAGTCTGTTGTGGATTAAAGCTCCCACTGTGGTCTGTTAGTCACATTAGAGCTGAGGTTTAGAGAGGGGATGAGGGCTGGACTCCAGACCGATTTTCCCATCGATCCAGGTTTCTCTCTGCCTACTTTCACCGCTCGACAACAGCAGCTGGTAGTCATATTTATCATTTTTATTATTTAATTAAAAATTCACATTGCATTGCATGTTTTTTTTTTTTTTTTATTCCTGGCAATGTGGTGATGTGTTTGTAGATTTATTGTTCAAAAAAAAAGTTGTACACTTAGCTCACTGGTATTTCTTATTCATTACAGAGATCCAACCTCCTGCCTCTGTAGCTTTTCAGATTGAGTCTGCTTTCTTTTTGTTGTTGACTCTAACTAAATTAAAAGTTTGCAAACATCTTGCTAAACTCAGACATAATGAAACTTGTGGATAAACACTTGAATGATTTACAACACACTATAATGGAGGCCTAAGGAAATACATTTTCATTTTGTTTTGTTTTTCACTTAACTTAAAAATGTTTATAAATGTATTCAAAACTAATAATATCATGTGGTACTTGAAGTGTTCATTGATGATCTTTGAAAAAACAGAAAACAACAACAACAACAACAACAACAACAACAAAAACTACAAAACTCAAGGTCGACTTTCTTCAGAGGGCTGAGCTTGCTTACTTGTTGGAGAGTGAAGGAGAAGTAGCCTATTTAATTAATTACTTCATTAAATGTTATAAATACCTTCTGTTTATCGTCCTTATTAAATATGAATAAAATATGAAGATTATTGTCTAAGAATTTAGTTGCTGTTATGATTGTTGACAACACTTAAGGTACAATTAAATGTTACAATCCTTGCTTCCAACTCTATCGGTGATTATTTAAAGTGAGACTACTGGTATTGAAGTTTTGCTTAAATAATGACATTTGTGTCCGAGTAGCACATTAGAAATGAGTCAGCAATATCAGCTACACAGCGCTATCTATCTATTAGCCATCACTTTTAATTTTTATAATGGAATTGATTTATCCTAAAGTCTTGATTTATTTAATAATTTATTTTATTTTATTCAATTTGAAAGCAAAAGTAATAAAGTCTTGATTTAAAAGTTCTATACATTTTAAACCATAATTTAGCAGCAAACAACAATTTTTTATGCAAAGATTTAGTGGAGTGTTGGGGTCCAAAGGAGAAGTCACACCCCCTCTTCATGTGTTGTAATCTGAGCTTCTCTATTCTTTGTTTTGGTATCTAGTCTTGCATGTTATTGTATGTAACTGTGCATGTTAGTGCATATGCACGTGCATGTTAATGCATGTGAGTCCCTCCTGTTAAATTTTTGGTCCTTCCCACATTTATGGAAAACACACAAGCTCCTCCCACAGGTGAGATGGCACAGTGTAGTACCAACGTTGAGGATTTCCTCTACTGAAAGAGCCACATTTTCATCTAAAAGTCCTCAAACAAAGAGATAAAATCAGAGCACAGAGGGACTTTGGGACTGTGAGGATTAGTGGCTCAAATCTCCATTGGCTGGTGGACCAAAACCTCCATAAAGTTTGTAAAGTGTTTACCTGCTTGGTCAGAGTATTTATCGGCTCCGGTCGGTGTCCTTCCCGCGCCTGGCACCAGAGGATAAGTCCGAGGCCGAATTCATTTCCCAGTCCGACCGTGTAGCCAGTACTGGTCTGGCTTTACCAAGATGGTGAACTCTACCAACAGCTTAAAGACTCCAGCTTGTCCTGGAACTGGCCTTCCTTTCTTCCTTTCTTCTTCATTAGTGACCTTTACAGTAGCCATGAACGTACTTTGATTGCATTGGCCTTCTTATAAACTTGTTGAGTGAGAACGAGAACGTGAAGGGGGGGGGGGGGGGGGGGTCACAAAATGAATGAAAATGAGAAAATAACTTGCTTAAAATTTGTGTTTTGGTGACATAGATTTATTTGTCATGGTCCCATACACATACATAAATTTCCCCTAGGGGATTAATAAAGTATCTATCCATTTACAGGACTGCTGAATGTAGGCCTATGAAAATAACAATCACAACTTCAAAAGGAATGTTTCGTTTCTTTGTAATAAAGCCCAATATGCAGAAAAGTATTGAAAGTGGTACAGTAACCATTCCCTTCGCTTCAAACTGGACTTGCATATTTGATGAAGGTGATGAAATGAAAATGACCTTAAAGCATTGATATTATACCAAATAATGATAATTATATATAAATATATTTCATATTTTGTGCTATATGGACTATCCATGGCCAAAAAGTAACCCATATGAAAGTCCATTGTATGTAACTGTTTTACAGTTGCAGTCTGTG